AATAACAATCCTAACCCACTAAATGCCAAATAAAGATATACACTAACCCAGATGAGAGTTGGAGTCTCCTTCAAGAACCACCCAAGCCATGCATTAACCTATAGGAGAGTCACTACCATGCTATCATCCTCTTCAACTTAAGGTAAAACCCAATGAAACCCACCAAGTCTAAGCAAAAACTTCTTAAAATGAGTAACTTTCACTTTTATTTATCCTCCATAGCCATCAAAGTGAGCAGAGGAGATGACTAAGGGGAAAAGAAGAGACGGTGACGACTATGAGAAAAACAAGAGAGGTGCTAGGGTTTAATAAAATTTTTTATTTTAATTTAGCATTTTAAAATTTTTAACCAAAACAAACAAATTAACATCGTTATTAAACACAAACCTTAAGATTTAAAATTATAAAATGAAAAATAAATGTAACTACTATCTTTTTTTTAAAAAATTACACAATAAAAAGTAACTTTTTATCATCCTTTAATTCAACCCACTCAAAAGGGGTGTTCACATCTGATCCAATCCGATTGATCTAATCTAAACTGATCCAATCCAATAAAAAACTGAACCAAACTGATATAAAATTGAGTTGGTTTGGATTATAAAATTTTAAAACCGATATAATTCGTTTAGTTTATAATTTTACTTTCAAACTACCCGAACTGCCCAATTACAAAATAAAGTCCGATTACACAATAATTTAATTAAATAATATGGTATATTTTTTTGTAATATTTTAAATTTTTTTCTTATTTTATAAGATGATAACTTCATTAACTTAATTTAAAAATAAAAATAGAATATCTCTATATTCTCTAATTTATTTTTCTTTCTAAATTGTCCATTCTAATTCTAATTCTAAATTTTCAATTCACTTGTAACTCTATTTCCTATAACCAGTCTATGACTCTATTTTAAGAACTCTAAACTTTTAATTTGTTCTTAAAATAATATTCTAATTCTCTTAATTAAATTTTAAGAAATATCATTCTAAAAGTCTTAAAACTATATAATAGAACTAAATTTGATATTCTATTATTTTTTGATATTTAGTTAAAAAGTTTTAAATTTTAATTATGAATACTTCTAATCATTCCTAGTGACATTTATGTTAAATTTTAATTGCTTTTAACAAGGTTTAGAAGATGGGATTAAATCATTTGTTGCATTAAGGAAAAAAATTAATTTTAACCTTTAAGAACTACTTATACTATATTTAAAATTTAAAATTATTTTTTTATTATTCTTGATGCTTCTAGTGATGTAATTAAGAAGAATTTTCAAATCTTTTCAATTTTCAAAATTGTAAATAAGTATAAAAACTTGTTTATAATTTGTGCATTTTATTATGTTTCTAATAATTTGAATGTTACTGTATTTTATAACTATATTTTCTATTTAATGCTAAATTTTTTTATATTATCTCATATATTTAATAATGTTAAAAACCGATCAATCCAACTAAACCACATCGATCCGATTTAAGTTGAATTGGTTTAATTATCATATAATAATAGATTGGATTGATTTAAAAATTTTATTAACCAATTAAATTGGAGTGGTTTAAAAAATATTAAAATTTAAACCAAACCACAATGCGCACACCCCTACCACTCATGTTACATAACTCAAACTTATTATCTCTTATTTTTATCAAGAAAAAATTACCACTAAACTGCATAAACAGTTGGTAATATAGGGATCCATACTACAACATATCAATCACTACAATCTAATTCCCACTTATGAAAAAGAGCATGAAAACAACATTTCTATCTTGTCGTACTTTCCTTCCATACAATAATTATTATCAAAGGAACCAAACTTGGTTAAAACAAGCAAAATCGAAGACCAGACACACACAGACAGTTTCGGAAAGATTGATGCAGTCAACTCATACACGCGCATGCACGAACACATTACCGAGTTGCGTAAACAATCACAATGCATAACCATAACTCAATGTTCAACGTTTATGAGAGGAGGGGGAGAATGCTTTTCAAATTAGAAATGTAAAACAGCTGAACTGAAAATAAAGAATCAAAAGATTTTTTTAACTACATATGCATTGCCATTGTACTAGGTTTCTTTATACAACAAAAACTGGGTGGAGAGATCAACCATTGCCTCAGCCACCAAAATAATTTGACACTGCATGCCACCTGAACTTCCTATAAAATCACTGCTGCCTATTATGGCATAAAGAACAAAAATAATATGAGGGCGAAAGAGGCCCACTGAAGCAAGCTCCCATGCGTCTTACGACAGATTTTACAAATTGAATTTTTTAAAAAATAAACAATGGAACATTTTTCAATAGGGGCATGGATTTAGAAAGTCAAAAAAAAAATGTAGAGGGGAGGAAAAAAGAATTGAATTTAGAAGGGTACTTTCTTTACCATCAATAATCGAATTCCATACTGCCCACCACGATGAAAAAATGGGAAAGAGCATATTTGAGCTTGTAAATCCTCACTCGTGCAGAAACTGGAAGGCTGGATTCTCAAGGAGTTCCTCCGCTGGTTGGACATCTAAGAAGTCCTTTAATGGAATTGAATTCGAAAGATCAACGACAGAGAAGCGAATCCTGTATTAAGGATGGATTAGTCTGTCTCTAAAATGAAGAAAATTTGGCTATATTTCAGTCTCATTGTTTATTGCTCAAAAACATTTACTCCATTAATTGTTCAAGGCAGAAGAAAGAATGATCAGATTAATGTAAGCCAGTTTTCATTTCATTTCGGAGAACTAGGAGGAACGAGGCTTGTTTAGGAAGTGTCTAAAAGCACATACTGAACTCCTGTTTTTTTTAATTGGCAAAGAATTAGTACTTAACTATTGTAGAGGTTTGAATCCCTGATCTTAACACCAAAATTAAGTATATGCTAAACTATTTAAATGTAATCTTTTTGTTTGGTGTGTGCAATGTTACGCTAACAAGATCATTAGAGATGGGAAAAACAGATTTTCCCTAATTTTATAGTGTTAAAAAATCCTTCTAAATCACTTCCCATGGCTTGAAACCATTGCAGGAGGGGATTCTTTTTCTAAAGCCATATTAGGAATCTAGTTTTTATGGCCAGACACCAGCAGACATAAAAGCCTGAGAAACTTTTACCTGGAATTGTCATCCAATAAAAATGAACTGCTTTCAGCACTGTTGGACTCCTCTGTCATGAGTATCCTCATGCTGGAAATGACCTGCAGTTTCAGATAGGGTACAAGTTGTCAAGGAGTCAGATTGAGTGGGAACATGAACAAACCTCCAAAGTCAACACAATATAACAATGTTACAACATGGAAACTTACATCGGGAGATACACTTCGAGTATTATAGTTGTCATCCGACTCATCCCAGTAGAGAGTACACATTCTATAAAGTTGTTGAACACTAAGGATCTGAAGATACAATAGATCGATGTTAGAAAACACACACACAAGCCCACAAAAACAGAAACATGTGGAGATGGAGACAGAGATAGAGAGAGACTTACGGGGCAAAGATCATTTGTGATTTCATCATAGGAAATTCTGTACTTCTGATGTGTAACCTATTCATCAAGATTGATAAAAGCCAAGTTAAAAGATGGCTATGTACTACTTTTCAAGGTTTCAGTAGATATTTCATATTCTTCCAGCTTCCTTCCCTAACCTTCTCAGCAGGTTTAAGATTTTGAACTGCATAACACCTAAAAGCTAATTATTTGACATACAGATTATTAATTCAAATAATTTAATTGTGGTCTAAGTCTAGAAAAGTTCAACAACAAAAAACACCAACTACTATCACATTAGCTACACTTTTAAAGGGTGCTGACATTAAAGAACAATGGCATACCAAGAATCCAACAGCCTGCCTTATGTGCTTAAGTTCATCCCATGACGACCCTGAATACTGCAGGTAAAGAAGAACAAGGCACACAACAAAAATGGTCAGCAAAAAAGTTAGCCTTTGCTAAATGTACAACATGGAGAAATACAAAAATTACTAAAAATTGACCTCTTCTTTTGCCTGGCAGCTCCAAAGCTCTAACTCAGCTAATCCAGACTTCACATATTCTCCATTGCTAAATGTACAACACTCACGGTGCAGAAGAAGGCTGGAAGATCACCAGACATCCCAAACATAACCAAACATAATGGTAGAAATGGACAAACAAACCAAAGCAGATCACAACTTACCTATTAAACAATTGCACATTAAAGTACGAAAATGTCTGAGTAAAGATCTTCTGGACAAGAACTGGAGGCACCTGAAACCTCATCACTATTAGGACCTCCATGCATCTAAGATTCTAAATGGAAACAAGAAGTATAGCAGCAACTAAGATTAAGAAGCAAAGCAAAATGTTACATACAAAATTTTCTTTCAAAGTGCAAAGAAGGGTATTGAGGCTATAAATGATGCTCTGCCAATGACTAGAAGAAGAGTCTTTGCCAAATGACCGCCCTGATCGTAGTATGCTTCCCTTTGATGTTCTTGGTGCCTAAAATTCAGCACAACCAATTAAAAGGAGACATGACTTGCAATTTTGAGATACAAGGATGAAGACTAACTAGAATTTAGCAGGAGCCAAGCTCTAAGCACAATATAACTGGATACATAAGTAAGGAATGAAACTCTTTCTTCAAGTTGTCTCTGATGATTCCACAAATTTTTTCAACATATGCTGCAACCTGCGGCATGAAAAGCAATGCTGGTTGTTTTGCCTGTACTTGCCAAACTACAGCAAGTGCAGCAGCAGCAGCAGCAAGGTTGTTAGAAGGAGACAAACGAAAACTCTGGAGTTATAAGAGAAAAATATAAACCATCAGATTTTGACTTCAGAACTTGTAAGGGGTAATGGGATGAGGTTGGTTGATAAAAGTATTCCCAATACCTTGGCCATCCTCCCAAACAGAGAGGTTGTAGACGGTGGTTTCCTACTCAGAGCTGAACCAGCAGACTTCAGACTTCTTTCAAGCAAAAACAATAATGTAGATGTGTTTGATAACCAATAAGCCATTTGATCATTATTATCTTCGTTCTACAACCAATAAATGAAAATACTTCAATTATTAACAATTGCCAGCATACTTACTCTAAGAACAGCATACAAGAAATTGAAAAGTATAGATAATAGAAATTAAACAGATAGATAACACTCTTTAATAATTATAAAGAAACTCCAATCCCAAGAGTGAAGTAATAATGCGTACAAGACAGGCCAAAAAGAAAAAAAAATGAAGTAATGCATATAAGGGGTATTTACACCTGAGAATTAATTGACAACAGCCATAACTAGTAACTAAAGCATCCAACAACATCATTAGCACAAAAGTAAAAATCAAATGATAGCACTACAGACATTATGCAAACAAGTTGTTCATGGTAGTACAAAAACAAGTCCATAGAAGTTGTAGGATCCCAAATCATGTCCTCAAATATCAAAACCATGTCAAAGTCTGTCCTACTTAGCTTCCTAGAACCAATTGAAATCAGATAGTCATTTCAAAAAGCCATAATCACTTTGAATCTCATTGTATGACTTTTACTACTCCAAAACTCTCTAATAACCTTTTAAATTGGAGGAAACCTGATAATAAAAACTAGTTGAGATTCGAACCCTTAAAGCCCAAAAGGATATAATTTTCCACAATCCATGCAGAAAAGTGGGATTCACCATCCACTATGGCTACCTTTGTAAGAAAATGACCAAAATATCTAATTTAATTACCTCAATAGCAGAACCAATCAACCGAATGAGATGATCAAACACACTAGTCCTTTCAGCTTCAAAAGATTTCCAGTGGAGAAGAGATTTGTAAATGGTAAATGCTGCAACAGGTTTTCCCTGACTGAATCCAATGTTTTTTGAAACACAATTCATAGGAGCATCAACATTGTCCTGTTGAAGGAAAAAAAACTAATGTTGGCAGCTGGAACCATGCATACAAAGGAAAGCTAGAAAATGAGAAACCACTTCTCAATAGCACATACATGTTGGTGATCAAGCAGTGATCTGCCAAAGTTGACGTCAGATTCTGTACTTCTTAACTGGGGTTGCATTTGGTGGTTCCAGTGGAAAGAATGTCTGTCAACAATCATAAGTAGCATAGTGTACAATCATATGGAATAACTATGAGAAAAGTATGATCAGATGGAATAACAATTAGATAAGTATGATACATTTGATTTGTTCTCTTCATCCACATGGTTTCCATTTTCCAAACTCTGCAACATTTCAAAAAGAAAAAGATGAATGCCAACAGTCGCTTCAGAAAGGTGATGATGATGATAACAAGCATATATTTACCTGCAAGGGTGAAATTGGTGGATGCTCTGAAATCTTCTTAATGGCCGAACATAACAGGTTTTGCTGCCTCAGGAATTTGTTTTCAGATTCCATGTCAATAATTTTCTCTTCAAGACTATGAATGTAAGAAACATCATGAGAGAAGGAGAGAACAAATCAAATTTCCTCTTCAATACTACAAATGTCAATAAAAAGGGACCAACAGTGTGTGAACATATAGACCAAGATACATGAATATAAGCTCAATTGCTATGCTTTTCTCAACCAATAGGACAACTATAAATCTTTCAAAATCTTGGGTTGTTTTCATAACCTAACTACAAAATTACCTGTTCATAGCAGTCTTCAAATGAATTATTTTTGACTCAGCTTCCAGGGCTTGCTTCAACCTTTCTTCACTTATTTTGTTTGTCTCAACTAACTTTTTCTCTGTTTCATCAATCTTCTTTTCCAATGAACTCACCAGTTCCTGAGTATATCAGAAGACGAGAATTCTCATAAAAAATTGTGTTAAAATAACCTCCAAAGACACCCCCAGCTCTCTGAAACATAGATGGTAGGCTTGGCCTCCTCACCTTCAGCATTTCATGGTTAACAACTGAAACCTTTTGTATAATAGGAACCACCTCAGCTGTCCTCCTTGCAGCTTCACATTCCTTCCTGAGCAGTTCTTTGGTTTCTTTGAACTGAAGTTGAACTTCTTCCAAAGCAGAGTGAAGTTGTGCATTTTCTTGTGTTTTAGCTTCTTCGATGTCAACCTGCAGAGCTAGTTAATAATGGATTAAATAACTAGAAAAGAAAATAGTGGAAGCAGAATGGCAGTCAGGAACATATAGCTAGAAGATAACTGCCAAGTTCCTTTTCCATTTGTTAATCTACATCTTACAACAAAAAGACAACACATTATAGCTTAACCATATGATTAAGCAATCAGGAAATATGGTAATATACACTATAACTTTGAAAAGACCAGGCCCAAACCTACACTAGCCAACTCTTCAAGCCAAGGTCCACATGACCATCAAAAGCTTCAGTTTGAGTTATTATTAGTGGCTGATTTTGCACTTGCATACCACTCACTCCCACACTTCCTCCCCAATGTGGAATTTGGGTGTCACTAATTGTAGCTTTTCTCAAACACCATATGGATCACGCACTTAAAACTATACTAATAAAAACATGGGATTAGTTAATATTTAGTAAGAGTCACCTAGCTCACAAAATTACTACACATCTTTTTACCTCTTCTGTTTCTTTTTTGTTTTTTTTTGGCCATCAAAGAAAAGACCTCCTCTGGGTTCACTAGGTTTACAATATCATAGCATAACCAGTATCATACTCACCCTCATGCATCTCTCTAGCTGTAATCTCCATGTCAGCTCTTCAACTTGCTTTTCCAATTTATTTTTGGCAGCTTGCAGAGCTCGAGTTTCCCTTGCAGCCTGCAAGCAATAGAAAGGATAAAATAAATTAATAAATAATGAAGTCTTCAGATTTTTACATTCACAAAACCAAAACTCTATGGCTCTAGAAAAAGAAGAGTATTACATCCACAAGAGAACAATTAACAACTAAAAGAATGTGCAAGTGGTATGGCAAAAGTAGAACCTAATATCTAGTTTTCACATTTGTCTACAAGGTACAACTGAGACTATTGCAACTATTTTTTTTTATCTGACTATTACAACTATTATGCTCAATAAAGTACATGTTTCTCTAAATGCATGGAATCTCGGGGACTTCAACCTTCAGATGAAACTTGGAAGTATTAATAACAGAAAGAAGAATCAGAAAACTTCCCAAAATCACGTTAAGTGAAAGGAGAAAAGGCATAAGGAGAAGATCACCATCTTAAGCTTCCTCAGTTCCTTGCGTGCAACTCTTCCTCTCCATGCACACTGTGTTGTAATTGATGATTTCTTCAATTTCACATAATGCAATTGAGCTAAGTATTTGCGACATTGGCTCTATTGAGTAATTGAAGTCATTCCATGAAAGGAAAAGACATAAGATTAAACAAGGTATGGCCAAATGAAGTGTGGATGAGAATTGCAATGTATTCAGAGTTGTACAGTTGTTGGCAATTGAAGGGAATGTGTCTACATGGTGGAAAAAATAAATAAATAAAAAGGTAGAGCTACCTACCTGAATTTTGATTGCGGCTCTAGTCTGCCTTCTTAAGCATAGCTCATTTCGAGCAGCCATTCCATGCATACCAGTCTGGATGGGAACTGCAGAGGAACACAATTCTTTATATGCTTTCCTTGCAAGATGCCTACGCAAACCTCTCTGGATCCTCAGACAGGCAGTTTCTCTTCTCATGCCATCATAAATTTTGCGAGCAAGATCCCCTGGAATCAGCACAGATAAATTTTACAACAGGTAATTATGATAAACAAGCTTCAATTTGAAGGTTAGTCTAACAAATTAAAGATCCACATCCAAAATATTCAGAAGAAATAAATACCTCTCTGCATACAGATTGAATATGTATTTGCACACAAACGAAGCAAAACAAAACTCCTGCGAGTTAAATAAGAACAGACTTTCCTCTGGATAATGAAAGCTGATCTTCCTAAGATCTCACTCCTACAGGCATCCAGTTGAGCCATTTGACCAACCCTGAGGAAAACCTTTGTCTTACCAATCTAAAAAGAAAAAGGATCAGTAGGATTTTTCCCAAAACCAACCACAAAAGAGATGTAGACCAAGTAGGAACCAGTAGATTACGACAGCAAAACTAAAATTCATGACAGCAATCAGGGTTATCTTTTATAACACTCTTTGGTTGATTAATGAAACCTGAAACAAGAGCGGTTTCTCAACATAAATTGCTACACAATTTTGATTGTTAGCAAGGAACAAACTCCCTTGCTTTCTTCACATATGCTTTATGCCTTCATGAATTCCCAACCAAAAGGCTTCTAACTTACAAGGCAATATACAGAATACCAAAGCGCTCCAGCCATGCGCCCTCACCCAAGAAGAAGTAACCATGTAGAAAGAAAAAGAATAATGCATCATATTAATAGATAACAATTCCAGAGGAGATTTTGACCAACAAATCCTAGAGAAATAATAGCAGAATCAAACTCAAACTAAGAGAAGGTTATTCAATTCTTTGTAATAATTACCTGATAGCCTTGGAGTCCCGCCTCCACCAAAAGCCTCTTACAAGCAGTGACCTCATCAGAACTAACAAAAATGAACAAGAAAAGAGTCAGAAAAAGTTTTTTCTGAAAAAATCTTACATAAAAGTAGAAAATAATAATACCTTTCATCCAAAACTTCTGGTGCAAGGATGCCAAATCTTTCTACAAATTCATAAAATGATTTTCTAGTAGGATATCCAGCACAACTAATCCTGATTGCCTCCATGACTCCCTGAGAATACACAATGAACATCTATCAACAAAGAAGGCAATTTTAATCACACACCAATGGCAAAGTTACACTCTATAGGCTATCAACATCCTTACCCCACATCGTAGTTGCTGCAGAACACTTTTATTCTCAAATATTGCTGGTTTAAGAAGATTATTGGGCTTTACACATCGAATGTAATGTGGCTCAGTGGAACTGAGAGTTTCAAGCAATGCTTGCAATTGTTGCTGGATAACATACAAAAGGCAACTTTGTAAACCAAATAGACTGAAAAGGAAGTGATAATCCTGTAAAAGAAAAGAAATAAGCCATACCTTAAATTGAGAACCTATTAAAGAGAATTTTGAGGTCTTTGATGATTCTTCTGCTAAAGGCAGAAACAAACCTGACACAAAGAGACATTTGGAGGCACTCAAAAGGGCCTGATGTTCAGCAACAACGTAATCTTTATTCTTGTCCAGGAATAATTCAGTTTGATAAGTGACCTGAAAATTCACTCAAGTTTTTTTACTTAAGTATAATTGTATTGACAACTTGCTTCTTGCATTTATTCCTCATTGTGAATGTACTAGAAAGAGAAAGAACACATACATCACCAGCATAATGGCAAATTGTGAAGTCACTTCGAGACAATTTTGGCTTGCTGAAGCGCTTATGATTTTTAAATGTCTGGTACAGCTTCTGAGCAAATGTGGCATGTGTTGATCTTGGGAACATACTTAAGAAATGGAAAAAGGATAAAATTAGCTATCACATAACCAGAATGGTCAAATCTAATCATTAAAAAAATGGTAAACAAAATGGAAGAAATATTAAACCATGTTAACCACATCAGATGTACACAAATGCTTAAACAATTACTGCTTGCTTACCAAGCCTCATCCAGAAGAGCTATTACACCACCAGGTTTCTGAAAATCAAGACGAGGAAAGAAAAATAACTAATCAACAAACAGAAAAAACAATCATTAACCATGGGACCCCAAAAAATAAATACATTTAGATTTAGCTGATCAATGTTTTTGTTCAGATCCCCATACAAAGGCAAAAATTGCATTCAAAAGATATTTAACAAAGCAAGTAAAAAGCAAAAATGAAATCTTCTAAGTAAAAGAACAAAACAAAGTGGAAGTTTACATAATTCCTTTATGGCAGTTCAAAAAAAAACAACCTATATTATATTGCCATACAAACCATTGTCATGTCAAACATTGTAACCTTACCTCTGCAAAAGACAACATCATTTCCCAGAGTGAATGAATTAGACAAAATTCAAATTAAAGTATGCATTGACACAAATCCTTACCATCATATTCTTTCTAAAGAAATTAATTCAAGAAGACGGCAATGTAGGACTTTATGCATGGTGAATCATTTCGACCATATATTTGAATTGCTTGAACTAGATTCTTGGCATAAATCTGGTTAGAATTAACAAGCCAAAACAATTCAGCCAAAACTAAGGTTGAGGTTTCCTACTATTTGATACTTTGTCACTGAAACATTTTCCACTCTCTTGAGATTATTCCTGCTCCGATCTTTTTTCCCCAGATTGTCCTGTTATTTTTCAGGCAGATTGGCAGAAGATTTTATACCTTGCGCCCAGTGCAACAAATGTGGATTTACCTACGTCTAAGATGTTCAATGAAAAAACCAATGAATGATTCACATCAACCCATCGATCAATGAAGCCCCATTCTTACTTTGGGTTTTTTAGATGAATCCTATGCTTCCATTTAACTCTACCCTGAGGGGATTGATACTCTTAAGATGTGACTATACAGTTTACTAGGTTGTTTACCAAGAACATTGCCACATCATTTTGTGATACTGGCTTTTAGTGAGGGTGCCAAGGGAATAAAAGTCCAACAACAGAAAATAAAGAGAACTTGTGTATTTAAATATAGTATGGGCTACTCCACCTATTGCCAAATGATTTTAGGTTAATGCCCATGTTGTATTTAGGCCTACATGCTTATTTAACATGGTATCAAAGCCATTGGGTGTTAAGGAACAGGTGTTTGTATGCACAGCTCATTGTTGTGCACAGGACCCAAAAATGGTCACTGCAGGAGTTGTCAGGACTCAGGGATGGTGGGCTGTAGTTGTGAGAACACATCACAAGTTAGCTGGACTGCATGTGATGGGGCATGTGAAAAGTGGGTAAAAGTCCAGCATTGGAAAATAAAGAAAGAACTTGTGTCCTTAAATACAGTATGGGCTACCCACCTATTGCCAATTAGTTTTAGATTGGATACTCACATTGTATTCATTCCCACTAATATGTGTCCTCTAATATTGTATGGGCTGCCCACACTGATTGATTTTAGATTGGATACTCATGTTGTTTTCATACCGACTCATTTATTTAAGAGAAGGCAAAAAACATGACAGGTGCAAGTAACTGAAACAACCAAGAAGGCAAGATGATAACATATTACGTGTTAAACAAGTATGTAGTGCTACATGCTGTCTTCACTGTTTTTAAGTATGGATATACAATTAACAATACAGAAATAATACCATAACAATTGGCAAAATTCAGTTTAAAAGGAATGAATATTAAAGGATTAGACAACTAAATCAATTGAAACAATTAGAAATCAACTGAAACAATCAAAAAATACCAGCAAAAGAAATTTTAACTGAAGGTAAATACCACAAACCTTTTCAATGAGGTCCAGAACATCTTGATTATCAATAAAATCTATATAGCTCCATTCAATTTCTTCTTTTGTATACTCTTCTTGCTCCATCTTGAAAACATGCTGCCCACCAAGAAATTTGTGCCTCAGAACCGATAGAACAAAGGAGAATTGCCAAGGACGATAAGAGAATGAAATGTTTTAATCAAACAAACCTAGTTGAATTGAAATGCTGCTGAAGTTTCTCATTTGTCAAATTAATGCAGAATTGCTCAAAACTGCAAAACCCAGGAGATATGTAACATTACACAAAAACCCAGGAGAAAGCATCCAAAGGGGTCGAAATTTAACCAAAATTTAGTTACATAATAATTTTATCCATTATGGATTCTAGCAGTTAGAACCACTTTTGGGGACTTTAGTGCTATGAACTCTATATTCAACTCAGTGCCATCGCCATTAAAAACATGAGACTAACAAGTTAATGCCCATATTGGTCAATGTCTATAGCAATCACCATACTTTTTTTAAACAAATGAATGAGGAAACCCCACACATTAACAGGAGCATAGTGAAAATATATCCATCTTAAAAGTTAAAGCCCACCTTGACTCAAACTACATGATTCATGTTAAGCACTCAACTCAAAGAAATTCACAATAAATAGTATGACTCCTACTTTCAAAGGAAAAAATAAATAAATAAATAAAAGGTATAATAAATGTTTCTTTCTTCTTTTTTTTTTTTTTTATGTGCGACTTTCCCACTTATCACTCCTTCATGTGCAAGCTATGAACTTTAGGTACTATTCCAAGCCTGGTAAAACCTTCGTTACCTTTCATGTGGCACGTGCAAGTACGGTATGACCTTCTAAGTAACAGGCTAACAATAAAGGGCTCGACAAAAACGAAACATATAACATGTAAAAAACATGTGGAACTCAACACAAGATGAGCAAGCAACGTAAAACCAATTGCAATAGGTGAAGTAACTCATCTTATATTTAACCCACATGTTTCTTTTTTTCCTACTTGTTGGATAAGTTTCAAGCCATCTGCATTTTCCCTTAGAAGGCAATGAGGAAATTATCAATTTATACAAATGTGAGATGGTAACCTAATAAATTACTAATAGAGGGAAGCTACTACAATAACAGAAACTAGCACTCTTACCGGCAACAAGAGATCTTGACTTATATTTTCTTAAAACTCTTAAAAAAACTAATGTCATAGTTATTACATGCATGAGACAGAAAAGTATGCAAGAGGGAAAGCACATGTAGCATTTTATGAGGCAGATTCAAAATTGATAACTATACCTACTAATATGACACTAGTACAGATATAGGAAACTAGGGCTATTAGTGGCAACAACAATCACCTTTTACAACTAGATTTATCAAATTGATTTTATATTTATCAATTTAGGCATCCTTAATTTCCTTGAACTTGACCCCATTTCAAAATTAGATTTAACCAATGGATTTTCTATGGTGTTAAGAGCGCACAAAATCATGTGCACTTCACTTGCATGCAAAGATTCAGCAACAGCAGTTGTGCAAGAATGAAAAACTTCATCTTTACCAAGACTTCACCAGTAATTTGGTGAAAAAATATGCCTCCTCAGACCATTGTTTCTTTGCAGTAGCAAATGACACATGATTGCCACAATAGATAAGGTGCCTCTCAATACTTTCAAGAGCGTAACTTCCACTTGTATTCAGTGATTTCAATGATCAATTATGAAAATGAAAGGGCATACCAATTAAGCACCTGTTTGTCTTGAAATTCTCAAATCTATAAATATTCAGCACCCCAATTAAGAACTTTGAGTCAGGGTCTTGTCCGATTGAACTATTAATCTTATCCACGATCCTGTAAAAACAAGAGGCAATCGAATAAAATTCACAATAACAGACTCCACTGACTCAAATAAGTATCGATTCAGAAAAAAAGGAAAACCAAGTAGCCAAAAGCAAACCATACCAATCAAACAATCTTGAGTACACAATTTTAGCCAAAGCATCTCAACTAACAACAGCAGATTCAGGATCCAACCATTTCGTAATGGTTTCATCACGAGTTACAATTACACGTTAACACAAAGAATCTTCAAGTAACTTCTCATCACACCTACAATTAAGTTGAAGTTAAAATGCTATCTTTCTTTTCTTGTGAGAGAAGGTGAAACAAATGCACAATAGACAAGCAAACCTTCAGCTTGTGCCTGTCCATATCAGTGAAGTTGTACACTTGAGAAGCTCAGCAGCAGTTTTTAGATGGAGCCAAGATATTTCATCTTTGGGCACTGAGGAGTCTATCCCCTTCCCTTTTTTAAATTCAATGTTTCCAAGATGGAGAATCGCAGCCACAACACGGAATATAGCATCCTGACAAGCGAAAGATATAACTTCTAGGAACAAAAATAAATAGGATGATGATATGAAGGATCACTCTTCCAGATGGAGCTTTTCCATATTTATACCTGCTCATCATTACTTATTCCAACAATATCCATTACCCTCCTCGTTGCAATGTATTCCTTAGAATCATCAACCCCGTCCAACTCATAGCAATTTGACTGGTTCAAATAGTGGAATGTCCTTGGGTTTCCCAATTTGTAACGCTGAATATCCTAGAAAGTAAAAAAAGAAAAAAAAAGGATGAGAGAAAAAGACATATATAGCTTTTTAAGACAATGAGACAACAAAGTGTAGAACACTTTATCCACTTCAGTAGCTAGATTTAGAAAGGATGAAAAATTTGGGAATATAGACACTTTAAGTTCTGGTCATGACTAGTGAAAACGTGATTGGCTGATTTGAACTGAGAAAGCAAATATTGATAGCTGAGTGAAAGATATATCTCTACCATCATAAAAAATTTAATTGATAGCATAGGACAAGAAAGATAACATTTTTAACAGTCATTGAGCTACAAACGTCTCTTGAGATAATTGATATGCCAGGAAATCTAATGAAGCACAACACATTAATTGTGGAAACAGGAAAAAGAATCGATCTACTATAAACCTAAAAGCAACCAACAACATCTAATTATGTCACCTTCTTATCTATATCCGAAGCTGGAATTAGAGGAAAGACTAAAAAGTTCTTCTCAATAGCTAATTCAAAATATGGAGATCCTTTTCTCCAATTAACTGTGATGATAAAATCTGAGAAAATCTCTAAATTAAAATTTGAATGGCATTACAGTCGAAAACCTCCTACCTTGGGGGGTGCAGCACAAAGCATGTAGAAACAATGATAATTTCTCTCAGGATCAGACACTTGACAAACACATGACCTTTCTAACAAATAAGTCCTGATCGCTGCTCCAGAAATCCGTCCACTTTGGTCATATTGAATCTCCACAAACTTACCAAAACAACTGCAGCATTTGACAACATGAAAATGAAGATAAAAGGTAGTCAAACAATCTGGCAGAGAATTTGCTGTGACTGCAGAACAAAACTTTCTGACAAATATTCTAATAATGTTCCCACCTTGAGTTGTTGTTTCTAACAGTCTTTGCATTGCCAAATGCTTCTAAAACAGGATTGGACTACAAATTAAAAGAAAACACAAATAAGGGGTGCAAAATGCAATCTTTCATTGGACAGAGAACTGATAAGCCATCATTTACCTCCAGAACTTGCTGCTCGACTGTTCTCCCCTCTGCAGCAGCTCTCCCTCCCATGTAAGCAAGGTACCACATGAGCAATTTTGTACTTTCCGTTTTACCAGCACCACTTTCACCACTAACCAAAATTGACTGACTTATTCCCTCATTCATCATTTGCCTGCATCCATGGCAATGCAATTTTTAATTCCAGGCTAGAAACTGTATCAAATGAACAACTTATAGGTCAGTAAGCGAGACAGTACCGGTATGAAGCATCAGCAACTGCAAAGGGATGTGGGCTCAGCTCCCCAAAGGCTGCCCCTTTATATTGTGCCATCATATGGCTATCATAGAGATGAGGGAGTTTTCTAAAAGGATTCACAGCAATCAATAGGTTCCCTGTATATGTCTGGCAGCATCATTTTGATCAAATGCCCCATCACGTTAATAAAACAAAATGTCAAAAATATGCAGGTAAATAAAGATGCCTTTGAAACCAATAATTTTCATAAGTCAACAAAACATAAAACAAAAACAAAGAAGCAAACTAACTATTGCATCCAGCTTGCTTCAACTATGCCCCCAGTGAAAGAAGAAAACATTAACTTTTGTTAGCACAAACTTACATAAATTGCATTGATGTCATATCTGGATCTTAAATTTTCAAGGACTCCTGGTTCATGCAAATAAGCTAGCTTTGTCATGTCATCCACTCCACATGGTGGGGTCTCTGCATCTTTGGGGTAGACATTGGAAGCCTTAATAACAACCGAAATTTTTCAAAATAAGATCCAATATCAGAAAGTTTCTGAACTGACTCTTTTTTGCTCTTCAAGTGACCTCATTAAAAAGGAGCTCATGCAATTTAAGGGGAAAAACAGTAACAACTTACTTGTCAAGAAAAAAAAGGGAAAAAGAAAAAACTTAAAACAAAATAGATATGATGGTAGGTAACTGGTAAGTATCAATTCAAAATCAGTATTTCATACATATAGTATATAAGATTCCTAGATGCTTAAAAAAGGTAATTAGCTAATAGAGTTGTAGAAGTCACTCACTGTCTTCCCTGAATTGCAGAGAACTTTAATATTTTCACCATTAACCTCCAAAACTTCACCATGTAGCCAAGCTGCATCAAGATCCTCCACCAAACAATAGATCCAACCACAACACTGACACTAGCAGCCTACAAAGCCAGAAGTAACAATTATTAAGTAATTATTAAAAAAATTGTCACTATAGCTCCCCTGTAAATGAGATTTATACAACACAACCATATCATAAACCAGCAAACAAATCTTATTCAAGTATTTATAAACCTACTACAGAAAACAAGAATACATGTAAAACAGCTGATAGCCTGATATAATGTTGAAAATTTGGCCAGACTACATAGGACCCAGAAAACAACAATAACAACCTAGAATTATTGTACCAGCAGCTACACCTTAAAAATCAGTTGGGAACAACTTCCTCTTTTTTGGGCCGTCTAGTCACAACCAACTGCCAAAAACACTGAAGTTGACTATCATGCTAACTTTAGCTTCAATTTGGTCAGACCACGTAGGACCCAGTCCAACCTTAAAGGTTAGTTAAGAAGTTGACATATTGAAAACTGCTAACCATATTGTCTCCCCAATGGTTTTTAGGTTAACCACACTGTTTATTTTAAATACTCACTGACACTAATCCCCTTTATAAACTTGAGTTCAATTCTCAGTGCTTACAATGAGACTGCATTAAAGAACATTGCTTTCTATCTAATTCAGTATTCTACAACTTAACGTTTTCAAGGAAAAGATCGAGATTTCAACCAGATATAGGCATCCAGAAACAAATAGATTGACAGATCAAAACAAAATACTGAAAAGCATATCACGAAATGCAAGAAACAACAGCTTTTGGTTGAACTCAAGTCCAGATCAGTCAAAGACAGAGTAGTACATCAATGATCAATCAAATCCCCCTCAATTTCGCAGATTCAACACAATCCAGCACTAAAAAGAGCAAAAACTACACAAATACAACCGAAGCCAATAAATTACCATTTCTCGCAAATGCTGATCGGATCAGAAACTCCGATTGCTTCTCGATCTACTTCCGGAGGCTTCGACGGCAATCACTCAATTCAAAACCAAAAAAGGAGAATTCGAACGCCTCCTATGGATTTATACTAGAAATTTTTCAAAGAATTTGAAGGAAAAAAAAATGTAGAAAAATGAATCGAAGGAGAAGCTTAAACCCTCCAACAGGTATGAATCTTTAAAAGAAGAGATTAAGCTTTTCCCCTCTCGCTCCATCTGCTTTTGAAAGCAGAGCTGTTCTTCGCTGTTTTCTTAAAATTTTCTTTTCGCTTCCTTTCTTCTTCTTCCCTCCAAACGGCGCGGACCTCGAGGTCTGTTTAAGTTTAATTGCGTATTAATTAACGAAAATAAAACGTGTATCAAGTGAGGGCAAAAAGGTATGTTTACCCACTATACTTTCGATTCAATGATTATTGAAATGAATTTTATTACTTTTTCTTAAAATAAATATAGAATAAAATTAACTATAATATTTTTTTATTTTATTTTGATTGTACAAAGAGTGACGAGCATCTCTTGTTCTTTATTTCACTTCGCTTGTATGCCATGCAATTTAAATTTATAATCTTTTATTTTTAACAAAAAAAAATAATCATTGAATTACTTATATCGTTCATTCACTATAACACATTTTGATTGAACTAATTTGGCTAAAATTTAAGAAATGACATAATCTTACCCCGTCATTGGATTCATTCCATCTTTCCATTTCAATACTCATTAATTTATCGTGGATTTGATAATTTTAGAACTATTTTTTAATAATATGACATGTTTTCTTAATTTTAAGTTAGCTAGCAAAAAATAATTAATCAATCTCATTTGATTATTTGTGAAGAAAATGATTAAAATTGTTAAATTAGCGAGTGAATAACAAATATTGAATGAAAAAACGAAATGACCACACATATGTTAACCTAATCTATTAGATTTTGGCTACTTAATTTCAACTTAAGTCTTAAATGTAGAATGACTAATTTTATTAAAGGTTGGTTTATTTTATACTCTAAGGGAATATGATAAAAAAAAGTAATAATTAAGTAATAATTATAGTATTTTTTTAAAAAATATGAAATTTTAAATTAAAAAAAATTTATTCTTATTTTAAAATAAATTAATAAACAATTAACAAATGATATATATAATTAAAATAAAAATTAATTTCATTATTTTTAAGATATAAAATAATAATTATTTATTAATAATTATTTCTTATTTGTACACTAAATATAAGAGGTGATTTATTTAAAGAAAAAGTGAAAAAAAAAATAAAAATAAAAATGAAAAAGGTATAAAGATTGAATTCAATAATTAAAAGAAGTTAAAACATCACTTTCACCCCAAGTGAGGTATAATACCGAAGTGCCCTAAAGTATGGAGTTTAAATTACGATTGGCGGGTCAGGGTCGGGGTCAGCATTGTTTGGATTATCTGGTGGTTGCAAAAATCGAAAGGTATACTGAGCTAGGGATGTCAACGGGGCTCGTGGGATTGGGAAGTCCCTCCTTGTCCTTGTCCTCGCAAATTATGTGGATAGGATTTGTACGGAGATTTTTAACGAAAGTAGATTTTGTCTTCTATTTCTGTTCCTCATCAATTAATATTAAATTATAATTTTTTTTTGTTTTTTACATATAATTAATTAATATTCAATTATAATAAATAAAACTCTAAAAATTCAAATACAATTAATTAAAATTTTTAACTATAAAATCAAATATAAATTGTCTAAATATAAATAAAAATCAATTCAACATAAATAACTAAACCAACAATTAACAAATTTGTTCCAAACATAAACAAAGATTAATCCAAACTAAACTAAAACATAAACAAAAATTAAACCAACAATGGAGGGGAAGGTTGTCACGCCCCAAACCGAGAGCGAAACAGACGCCGTGCACTCGTGAGCGGGGCCCACAAATGCACAAGGCTCGAGACCTATTGAGTTCTTACTTA